TGAAATTGAATTTACCCATCAAAAATACTTACCTAGGAAAAGGAGACATTAAATTTCCAGATCACAGAATTATACCCCATAGGAGGCACATTAATTAGGATTTTCTCCACTGAGTGCAAGTCAGATCTGCTTCATACACATATGAGGTGGTACAGAACTGATCAGAAAATTCATTCTTGAGGTTCCTGCAAATTTCAAGAACTGGCTGCCAGTGAAAAACTCACAAGTAGAAGATATATACCCTGAGCTTCCCCTTAAACTTTACAAGCACAGACAAAAAACCAAATCAAATAACATTGGCACAGAGAACTGGAGCAACAAACCCCTGCAAAGTTTCTGGTCTTTGCATCTTCTGTCACATCTGCTGCAGTGTCTCCATCTAGGAGTAGATTTTCATGCCAAGTCACTCTGTCTGCATCTGTAAATTGATTCAGGTAATAGCTCTGGAACTCAAGCAACCAGCACAGCAGTGCTCATGTGCATGTGGCTGTTCTCTCTTGGCCCCATGACAAGATGGTCCCTTCCAAAGGCTTTGCAAGCAGCTCCTGGCCTGTGCTAAACCCGAAGCGTGCCCAGATGCCATCTGTGAGAAGGATGGCTGGCTCCCACTGAAACTGTGCTTGGGACCATGCAAACTAATTATCTGCACAGCTTCCTGTATGGCAACATTTATGTTAATTAAGGGCCTTGCTAATGCTGTTGTTACTATTACTATGATACTATGTTCCACCCCAGTGCAGAGCAGAGGATGTAACAGCATTTTGTAAATAACCAAACGAGCCTCACAATACCCATTCAGAGAACGACATGGGTTTAACCCAATTTACAATCTAGGAGACTGTTGGATCAAAAGACGACCCAATACACTTCTCTTCAAGGAAATGGTGGTAAGAGCCAAGAATAAGGGATGGGATTCTTGAATCTTACTGCTCACATTTAGCTGCTGGGCCACTACCTACGATGTTAAATTATTCATCATTTCTTACAGGGAAAGCAGGCTTGCACTCACAGGAAAAGCTGGGTGCAAGAAAAAGGGTTATGAAAGTATTCACACACTCTTTCAAAAGAGTTAGTTAACTGACAAAAATATGCTGCTGTAATGCATTTTCATGTGTAGGCAGCAATTCTTCTCAGCATCCTAGGGCTGGAATCCTGTGTAGGGAAAGCTCAACTGCTCAGTATATGTAAAAGACAGGCCTCATTAACTCTTGGACATCTTCTCATTTCTTGGTCATAAATCCTATTACCTTGTATTACAAACTGCCATAAAACTCACAGATAAAAGATAATTTATGCTCAGTGTACAGAAGCTAATGTTTCTGTACTCCTGAGAAGCACACAACCAGAAAATGAGAAAGTATGTATGTGAAACCTTAAGCCATTCATATTGAGCATGGCTAGCATGATAAACATGACTCTAAGGGCCTTATGCTCTTCAGCCAGGGTATAGTCTAATGGTAATTGATGTTACCAAATTTCAAACATAAAATGTATGAACTCTTGCATAAAATATCCTGCTTATAAAGACTGATTAATCCTTATTAAAAATTCAAGATTTCCTCCCTCCCCCACTACAGAATGAAATATGACATCTATTCAGTACACAGGTACATTTTTTTTCTTTTTTCTTTTTTTTCAAACTCCAATCATCATGTAAAAAAATGCTTCACAACAACTATCACATCCTAAAATTCTTACAAAGTCTCCCTATTTCTGCTTCCTTTCCTAATTAGTGTTGCCTGGCACACAAAAAGTAACAGCCCTTGGAGTTGGCAGAATCAAAGGCAGCTCAATCTTTTATTTGCTTTTTCTCTGAAGCAATTCAAATTCTTCAGACTTTGGCACCAATTTTAACTGTGTTGGTTATCTGCTCAAAGGAATATTTTGCTTTAGTGAAGACTGAGAAAACGTGCTCATTTAGGCTGCTTGTCATTAGTTTTCCTTTCCCATTCAGAGAAGAGAAAATCTTTCACTGTCAATTTATAAATTCTGTAGCTACAAACTATATTCTCATTGTTTGGGCCCTTCAATAGATGCAAATAATTTCACACCTGCTTTCTTTTCTTAAATATGTTTTTAGTGGTTTGACATTTATTGGAATTAATTTATCTACATTTACATACTACAGTCTATATATCTACATCTCAATCTCCCACCCATTTTCTTCATAGAGATTATGGAGACAGGTGTTTATGGGATGTAATTATTGTCATGTGTTTTCTCATCCCTTGCAGGAGGTCATCCTTAAAGGTCAGAAATGAACATAAGAGAGTTTACTTCCTTGTAGTTTTCTTCACTTTCCATGCCAAAACATTTTTATCAATATATTTCAAACACCTTGCACTGTCTGTCAGTCTATTTCCCAGGAGATGCCTCAGTACTCAAAGTTCTAATTACTCTTACATTCAGTACTTGGATAAGTAGGAAATGATAATGTTATTGGCTGATCAAAAAAAGGCTTTGTTTACCTGGTCCACCTTCCCTGATAGTCTGCACAGGATCCCAAATCAGGCATTGTCCTTGCTGTCTTCCTCTTACAACCCTGAAGACTTTTAGCAAGTCCATAATGTTCCCTGCAATGCTGTGGACTCTTTAAAAGTGTGTTAAATATTGATGTATTTCTTCTACCATAACCTTCTATACCAACATTGTAACAATGTGAAATCTCTTTCAAAAAATTCATAGATTTTTGGTGGCCTTAGATATCTACTCACACCATCCTCGTCTTAGTTTCTGCACTGGTAACTATAAATTTAGCAGCTTGACTTGTTACTCCCCTTGTTATCCTTCGTAGGGGTCTTAAGGAATTACCAGTTTATCTGCTGTATCCAAGTACTTTAGGCTCTGCCTAGGTAGACATGACAGAGAACCACTCTCCTGCTACACTAAACCAAAGGCTAACATTATTTGGAAGCAAAACCATAATTATATTTTGCTCACATATTTTATCCAAAGAATCCAATAAAGATCAGATTCTTCTTCCCAAGAGAGAAAGGTTGCCATTCTACACTTATAGAAAAAACAACATGCTCTCAACTTTATCATTTGCATCAGCATTTGAATCTCAAAACCTTGCTTCATTTATTGCACAGTTTCCAGACTTGCATTTCGAACAGTCAGTGGGTCTCCCACTGTGTTAAACTCCCTCCTACCTTGATTTTAAATTACAGAGGGAAGAGGAGGAAAAGAGAGAATGTCATGATTGTGGTTGTTTGACAGAGAAAAATATCAAGCTGAACTCCATTAAACAAAAAAAAAAAAGAAAAAAAAGAAAGAGAGAGAGTACTTCTAAGCTTAGGATCCTTATTTCTCTCAGTTTATAAACTATTCAGTTTTTAAAAGAAAAACAACTATGCAGGATTATTATTATTATTATCTTGAGGTACCACAACAGTTGACTGAAGATACCAACAGTGGCAAGTTTAAACCAACAATGAAAAGCAATTTTGTGTCAAAGTGAGCACTAAGATTGTTTAAATGGCCTGCCCCTATATCTGCCCCTTATTTCTGTATGCTAGAAACAGCCTGAAATTTCCTGTGGAACTCTGCCCATCTACGAAAAAAATATTAAATGCTTTTTGTATGGCATTATTAGAAATAGAATAAAGAAATTTCCAGCAAACAAAACAATTAGCAACCTCCCATTTCTATTTAAAATGCAAAGATCATGATTTTTTTTTTCAAGTTGTAAGGGGTTTAATTATTCATGGAAGACTCATGAAAGCAACCTTAGGCATGGCATTTTAAAGCCGCTTATGGAAAAGATGAATAAAAATAATTAGAAATCTTTCCAGCCTTAGCAAGAGTTTTGTAAATTAAACTGGAAATTGTCCAGTTTATCTCAGCTCTTTAACATGTTCTTAAAAATACCCTAAAGGAAATTTACAGTGGTCAGTGAAATACTGCACTCACAGATCATTTACAAGCGAGTTACTCCCCACTTTTAGATTTTAACCACAGTTATCCTTTATTTCTCTTTCCCCCTCACTCTGCTGCCTCCATCTATTCAGCTGTGCAACTAGTGATCAGAGTAATTCCTCATCATACTGGCAAAAGAGCTCCTGTGCCTACTACCTTTCCTGCAGACACAGAGCTTCAAATTGTTAATAGAGCACCTGCCCCTGTGGCTTTAAATCTATAATCTCATAGAACTTCATTAATGCTTTTCTCAAATTACACTGAAGCACATCTGGTGCAAGGTTGTGTCAAATTTACCTGTGAATGTTATTTATTTTAATAGAATAAGCTTTCCAACAGAAATTGGGAAAGTTAGATAAGCTTTTAGAAACCTTGCCAAGGGGAAAACGTATTTTCCAAAAAATAAATTAATCATTGTTAGAGAACAGTGTTTGATGTTTAGATTTGCCTTTAATTTAAATCTCAGAAGCAGAAGATCAGCAAGATATTTTGTGTATGTTGTTTTATGAATCAATAAATGCAATAACAGATCTGAGAAACCACAGAAATAACACATCTTAAATAAATTCCCTTGTTGATGCTAGATGGATTCCCATCATAATGAACTGCACCATTTGGACTGCATAAGAGCTCTGCCTGATGTGTATGTCAGGAACTCCCTCAGAACATCCTCTTACATATTTTCTTTGTTCCTCTTATTAGAGACATCTGCATTGCTACTCAGCAAGCAAAAGGAGTGTGTGCTAATTTTAGACTTACTGAAATCTAATTTAAAAGGTTATTTTTTTTTTCCATTTATAATCAATATTCCATATTTACCTAATTCAGTTTTCATACTTTCTGGTTTTCTTGTTTCTCCCCTTTTATACAAATCTATCACGAACAAATTAAACATAACCTTTTCCAAAGGAGGAACTGAGAGCCCATAGTTTTCTGTCCCCATCCCTGCAATGTATTTTTTATTTCAGCTCTGACTCTACAGAACACAACTGACAAAGTGAGCATTTAATGGTGCAAGACCTATGGTGTCAGGGTGGGTGGAAGGTCAGTTTTATTACAAAGTAACTTCTTACAACACTTACGGATTGAAGCAGGTAAATCAGTGAGCACTCCTGGATAACTATCACCGGAGAAGGAGTGATATTCGTTGCATGAAAAAGTGTTTCCACCGATGCCATTATTTGGTCAAAGCGTCCTCCAAGTCCACCCAAAGTCACAATCACATCGACCTAAAAGACAGAACAAAAAGACTCACCATGAAAACTCTCAGGAATGATCTTTGGACTCTGAAAAACCACAATAAAATCAGTTTGATGAAAAAAAAAAAAAAGAAAGAAAAAATAACTACTGACTGTAGAAAAGCAAATGTCAAACACAGTTATTTACTCCCATTACCGATAAACACCATTATGTGATTTTCAAGCTGAGCATTAAAGAACCATAAATCCATGGCTAGCATGTTGCACTTTTAAAAGGACATAACCCTTCTCCCTAAAATACAGGCCAGTCTTCAAAGGTACTTACCTGTCTGTCCCGAATATATAGAGTCTAGGATGTATCACACCACACATAAGCTCCTTGGGTAAGTGTACATCCGAGCCATAGAATCCCCAGTTCTTTACATCATTTCATTATTATACTCACAGTTCACAGAGCAAATAAAGCAAATATCAGGTTGGGCCATTTATGTGTCATTCTCATTCCTGCCACACAGCATTTCAATGTACAAGCAAAACCACTCAAAGGCTGGCCCTGCTCAAGATTGAAAGTACCACCGTTTAGGAAGTTCCGCCTCAAGTGACTAGGACATCACCTCCAGCTGTCAGGGACAGACAACCACAGGAGCACTCCCTAGTCCCAGTCACACAGAAAACACCATCTTGACTGCTGACATCTGACTGCTTGCAATATGCCATGGAGTTGGACTGCTCCTGCTCAATTCTCTCACACAGGTGTTCCAGACTCTGAACACTTTATTTCCTATAAGCAGAAAGGGAGTATTCAAAAGGTTTGGTTAAGAGCTTTGGGGTCCTTAAATAAAAGGTCACTGAGTGCAAAGTATTATTATTATTATTACTTCCATAATGTAGACCAGTTATGTTCAGTAATTGTATTTTAAAAAGCTAACACTAAGTCATATCTAGGGCCCTAAGACATTGCAGCTCTGAAGTCTTTAGAAGGTGTTTTGACAATGGCCATCTGGTTAAGTTTCCAGCTTTACAGAGCTTAAATCTATGGCTTCTGTGATTACATGAAATTTTACTCAACCCAAGAGCCACATAATGGTGCTCTGTGTATCTGGAATGATGTATTAATAACATCAGCTTCATTTTTATTACCAGGTCTAGGGCTTTATGATTCTGTTGAATATTGTTTTGCATGAAAATTAAAGTCTTGAAGAGATATACCAGCTTTCTCATCACCACCTGGAAAATTCTTCAGAGGCCAGAGTGGATCAATATAACACATTATACTAGCAGCAAACACTGAAACAAAAAAACCCTCTCCTTGTACTGCTGACAGCATGTATTTTCTGTGCAGATTACAGATCACACAGACCAAATGTACAACCAAGAGAATATGAATGGTAAGGAAACCTATCCTTAAACAGAAGGCAAAATAGCAAAAGGTAAAAAGCATGTGTTCCCAGTTAAGCCATAATGTCGTAATATATTTTCCCTTTTATTGATTCCACTTTAGAAACAAAGTGCTTTTGTTTGACTGGTGATGACTGTGAGTTAAAAGGGTGGATCAATTCTCTGAAAATAATACTACTAGTAAGACTCCCATCAGTTCCCTACCAGACAATCAGCACTAAAATGCTCCCCTCCTTCCCCAAGAGAGGCCATGGCAAAATTCAGCTATACTAACCTGGAACCACAGTGAACTTAAGGTGGCTTGATAAAGGATTAGGGTCCACATTTATGTTGTTTTTCTTCTAAGCAATGGGACTGAAGCTCAAATATTAGCCTAGATTAGTCCTCTAGAAACCAAGCAGCTACTGTATAGTTTATTTGTATATATATATCTCACCATATGTGAACTTGTTTGTTTTGGCTTTGATGATTGGTACCAACATAAAAGGTAAGAATTAAGGAAATACAGAGTTCCTTTGGCTAGGAATTGAAATGATGCAATAGCATTCTAAATGTGTCTTCTTTCCATTGTAAACCCTTGTTTGTTAGTATCACACATGTTCTTCCCATGAAGTACAGTACCCAGCTCAAGTGATGAAGTGCACAGAACTGCAGAGTTCTGAGGCAGAGACTGACAGAGCACTGCAAGTGGAAGAAAATTGTAGCAAAAAAACCCCAACTTCTTATATTTTCAAGTAATACAGAATCCTGCTAAAAGTCCTACTCCTTATTCAGTTGCAACAGTGCAGTCTTGTGAACTGGTTAGCAAAAAGGAAGAAAATAAAACAAATATAGCATGGAGTAGACATATTGAAAAGGCATTCATAAACCAGAGGTATGGGGTTGAGGTGTGCTGGGAGAAGGCATCTTCTGAAGATACCAAAGATATCTGAAGAGGGAATATATCTATTATTTAAGGTTTGCATGGATTGTGAAAATGAAAAACACAAGTATGTGACAGGTACGCAAACAAACCCAGCTGGAGTATGAGAGGAACAGACAGAGAGAAAAACTAAGATTCTGCACTTGTATGACAGTTTACAGCACCACTTTTCACTGGATAATCTTGGCAGAAGTGACAGGCATCCAGACATTGCAGGACTTTTAGAGCCTTTATTTGAAGGTCTAGTCATTCACACATTGTTTATTTAAAAAAAAACCAAAAAAAACCCCCACAGGCTAAGTGCAACCAAAACCTCAAGAAACTTTTCATCCTAAAGCCATCATGACTGTTAAAAAAACCCCTCAAAAACACACCAAAATCATGAACTAACAAAACAACCAGTTTCCTCCCTGCAATCACTGCTCCCGTCATCCTGCCAAGAACTTAAGAAAATGGATGCACCATGAAAGCATGTACACAACTCTTTGTCATTCCACAACTTAAGGCAAAGTGAATACCCAAGGACTGGTACATTTAGATATTTCCACACTACAGAGAGGAAAGGCCATTTGTTTTTGCACTATGATTTCCTGAATAGCATAGGCCACAGAATTAATCCTGCTACTGCTAATCAGCCCAGTGGGCAACGTTTGACTAACACGCTGTACTTCAATTGAAATGTCCATGCTTCACTTAAATGTCCCATCACCAGTCCCCTTACACCATTTGTTTTCACACTGTGTTGTTCATTTCCTGAAAAAAAGGACATAAAATCATAAATAACTACAGAGGACAGCTTAGACCATTGCAAGCACATTCTCTTGGACTATCTATAATCTGAATTAAATCACAATATCTTTAAAGGCTATAAAACCTTAACTTAGAAATTGAAGATCTAAGGGTAGGATCCAGTCATCTTTAAAAGATACACCCGTAAGTTATTATGTCTTGAGAAAGTTCTAGAAGTCACTATCAAAGAGCAGGGCAGTTAAAAGGAGAAGGAAAGCATACAGCACAACTTTGTGCTGGCAATTCAGGGATCTACTTTTTCCTTCTCCTGCAAACTGTAATTTAGAGGGTGCAGTAACCGAGGGCAGCTGAGGCTCTCACCACATCAGAATGAAGTTGCTCAGGTTCCTGCTTCCACTCACAGAGACTATTGAAATGGACAACCTGCTGGCTTGCTAAACACTATGAAAGCTGGCCCAGCTGACATTCCTCTTTCTGGTAAAAATTGGTTAAATACAAAGAATATTTTCACTTTATGACTGAGGAATATGCATTAAGGACACAGAAAGCTGGGAACTGCCTGGAGTGGGTGAAAAGAGTGCAATACCTAGCTCTGCAATGTCAGCATCACCATGACATGTAAGAGTGAAGTCCAACGCTCAAACTGTCAGGAAATGATGCCCACCTTTTCAAAACCATGCTCATTATCTCTGATAAGAAATCCTCTCCCCAGGGAGAGGACAGACAACTCAAAGGACTTTCTTCCCTCTGAGTTCACTTTTAGCCAGACAACTTGCAAACAAACATGCCTAAGTCTCAGGGAGGTGTGTAGATGAAAGGAAACAAATTTACTGATCACAACCAGCAGCACTGAATGAACTGCAGAGAAGATCTCCCCAAAAGGAAAAAAGGAAGGCAAGAGTAATCAATATGTTCTAAAAGTTCTGGAGTCATGAGTAAACCTTCCCCTCCTCTGAGGTCATGGAGACCATCCATTGCTAATATCCAAGATATTAGTATGCCCACTAAAGGTTAGATATCTGACTGGAACATAGTGGGTTTTTAGCACCTTCTCACTTCACTGAAATTCCTTTCATCTCCCACAGCCTTTCTTAATTTTCTAGAATTCATAGGATAATTCCTTTAATTTAATTTTTAAAGGAATATGACATAGAGAACAAAATTATTGTAGTAACATGCATAGTATATTGGAAGTTTATTACATGCTGGAATATATAAATATATACATTGTATACATGTACACAAAAGTATAAAAGTATCTTGTGTCAAAAAATGAACAATTAAGTAATAGCGTGAATGGCACATTTATTATTGCTTTATTGGTTTGTCACTTCATCAGTTTTTGCCAGTTTACAAGAAAACCATTTTCTTCTTCATAAGGCAATTTGTCAGCTCAGGATATGGTTTAAATTATTTTCTGGTCTTTGCACCATCTTCAGTACCAAAGACTTTAAAACACACCAAGCCATTCCCTTGATAACAAATGGGCCAGAGTAGATTTTAACTCATTTTCTCACAGATATGTAAGAGCTCTAGTGTTGGCCAGATAAATAATTTTTTTATATCATCCTCAAAATTGCAATGTAAATTTAATGGACTACTAAAATCCCACAATCCAATGTTAAATATGTAGCAAGATATTGTCCACTTGAATTGATTACACTGGCTCCCTAGCTCAGTGTTTTACATAAAAGGTATGCCATTCTTTTCTGTAGAAATGAGATGCTGAATCACGCAGCAGCATCTGAACTTTGCTCAGGTAGAATCCTCTTTACTTTAGCCAGAATTTTCTTGTTGCTTCAGCAACATCTGACTCTTCCTGGGAACAAGAGGTCTCAGTCAAAGGCTGCCACCCTGTCTTGTGTACCTGGGACGATAACCTTCAATCAGCTTCATCCTCACCTCACTGACTCCACTAATCTATATATTATATTGTTCCAGCTCCTTCACAAAGCATTTC